AAGTAAACTGAACAAGGTAGTACTGGATTACAAACCAAAGTAAAAAATATCCATGAGTCTACACTGATATAAATAAATAAATAAATAAATAAATAAATAAATAAATAAATGGCAGAGAGGAGACAAATCTCCTATACAGAATAATTCCAAATAATTTATGTAGATCATCTACCCTAGGCTGTGCACAGTGACTTCCTCCAAAATAGTACAATGTGGAAAGGGGAAAAGAGTAGCTTTACAATGGAGAAAGCCAACAGACACTACCCCAACCAGATGTTCTAAGTCAACGTCAACAATCATGACTCATATTGATGGCGTGTAGTCAACATGCTGTGATGAATATGGCATATTACCTGTGTGGTCTCCCTCCCCGAAAACCATAACCTCAGTATCATAATGAGAAAAATATCAAACAACTTCCAACAGCGGGACATCTTACAAAATACTGGACCAATATTCCTCAAAGTTGTCAGGTTATCAAAAGTAAGGAAAGTACAGTCCAGACGTTGTGGCTGTCGCCTGTAATCCCAACACTTTGAGAGGCTGAAGCCAGAGGATTGCTTGAGGCCAGGAGTTCGAGACCTGGCCTGGCCAACATAACGAGATGCCGTCTCTACAAAAAAATTAAAATAAGGAAAGTCTGAAAAACTGCTGCAGCCTAGAAGAAACTCAGGAGATGTGAAACGAAATGTAATGTGGTATCCTGAATAGGATCCTGGGACAGAAAAAGGACTTGGGGAAAAACTAAGGAAATCTAAATAAAGTGTGGACTTTCATTAGTAATAAGAATCAAGGTTGATTAATTAGTTGTGAGGAATGTAATGTAAGATGGTAATCGTAGGGAAATCTGAAATGGAATCTATGGCAATTCTGTACTACATTTGTAATTGTTCTGTAACTCTAAAACTGTTCTAAAAAATAGTTTATTTTAAAAGAAAGTGAAATAAGAGGGATGAGGTATGTTATATTTTTAAAAATAGGTATATTGCAAAGCCCTCTGTGATAGGAAAATCATTGAGGGAGGAAACAATGCAGCTATTGGGATTAAGATCATTTCAAGCCTAGAAATCAGTGGATGTAAACGCCCTGAGGCAGGAGCATGCTTGGCTTCTGGGAGAAATATCAGCATGGGCAAAACAGAGTCCAGGAAGAGTTATGGTGGTGGGACTAGGAGTGGGGAATAGAGCATGTAGGGCATTGGTAGTCATGATAGTCTTTAAATTTTACATTGATTGAGATAGGAAGACTGAAGAATGTTTAACAGAGAAGCTAAATGATGTGGCTGGTTGTTTTTTTAATCTACCGTTTTGCTGAGGATAGATTAAAGGACAAAGATGAAAAGAGGCCAGCGAGTTAGAAAGCTGTGATGATTAATCTGATGTGTCAAATTTATTGGACCATGGGGTGCCCAGATATTTGGTAAAACATTATCCTGGGTGTGTCTGTGAGGGTGCTTGCTGATGACATTTTTATTTTTATTTGTTTTTTTTTTTTTTTTTTGAGATAGTGTCTCACTCTGTTGCCCAGGCTGCAGTGCAGTGGCATGATCATGGCTCCCTGCAGCCTCGACCTCCCCTGCTCAAGTGATCCTCCTGCCTCAGCCCCCTGAGTAGCTGGGACTACAGGCATGCACCACCACACTTGGCAAATTTTTTATTTTTAGCCCAAGCTGGTCTCCAACTCCTTAGGTCAAGTGATCCTCCCACCTTGGCCTCCCAAAGTGCTGGGTTAACAGGCATCAGTTACCATGCTCAGCTGAGATTAACCTTTGAATCCATGGAGAAGACTGCCTGAAAAAGAGTCTAAGTTGTGCATGGGGAAAAAGGGGGAAGATTGCTGGGGATTCAGAGTGGCGTTTTGGACACCTTCAGTTTGGAGTTGTCAAGTTGTCACAAAGGTGGTTGGTTAGGTGAGTCTGGGATGGTGGTATATATTTGGAGTTCTTTAGCATATAGATGGTGTGCAGACAGGATGGGGATGTCTGAAATCTGAGTCCTGGCATGCTCCGAGGTTAGGAAGATAGAGAATCAAAAAAAAGAGAATGAGAAGTTCTGATTAGTGAGATAGATAAACCAAGAGAGAACATGTTCCCAGAAGTCAAATGAAAAAAATGTTGCAAGAAAGAATGATTAACTTTCAAATGCTGCCACAGTGTGTAAAATTAGGATGCAAAACTGAGCAATGGGCTTGGCCACATGGAAGTCAGTGGTGAGCTTGGTAAGAAGAGTTTTAGTGGGGGATGACCAAAGCCTATTTGGAGTGACCCCAGAAAGAATCAAAATGGCAAATGAAGACAAAGAAATGGAGTAGAAACTGGAAGGAATCATATAGTCAAAGCAGTTTGTTCGTTTTTTTTTAAATTAGAAGTTATACATGTTTGTACACTCACCAGCATGAACCAAAAGGAAAGGAAAGAGGGATAATACAGGAGCGAAAATATGGGTTACATACTGGAGCAATGTTCTTGAGTAGATGAGCAGGTGTGCAATCCAATGCACAAATGGAAATTTGGGGTAAACTAGAAGAAAGAGTTCGTCCCTGTTAACAGGAGAAAACAACTCCAAACTGAACATGTCCAAAATGCCACTCTTAATTCCTGGCAATCTTCCCCTTCCCTCCCCATCCGCAATTTACTTTTTCAGGCAGTCGTCCTCATGGATTCAAATGTTAATCTCAGCTGAGTGTGGTAGCCTGTAAACCCAGCACTTTGGGAGGCCAGGGTAGGAGGATCACTGGAACCCGGGAGTTGGAGAGCAGCCTGGGCAACATAGGGAGATCTTATCTTTACTAAAAATCAAAGAATTAGCCGAGTGTGGTGGTGCATGCCTGATGTCCCAGCTACTCGGAAAGTGTGGCAGAGATGCTGGTAAATGTGGAGGCAATAACATATTTTATCAATGAAATTAAAAGCAAAGGCCAGGCACGGTGGTTCAGGCCTGTAATCCCAGCACTTTGAGAGGCTGAGGTGGGTGGGTCACCTGAGGTCAGGAGTTCAAGACCAGCCTGACCAACATGGAGAAACCCTGTCACTACTAAAAATACAAAATTAGCTGGGCATGGTGGTGCATGATGACAGGGTTTAGCGTATGGCCAATCTAAATTATCTTCTGCAGTTGATCTGCCCACATTCAGCTGAAACCCCAGCTTATTCTTGGGTTATTCTTGTTTTACAGATTTTCTGGAAACCTTAGCTCTCCCCTCCAATCTGGAGTTTTTCAGAGGTAATGACTGATAAGGACCTTAGGGTGAAGCTCAGATAAAGCAGAGCTGGCACTGGGTGCGGGGTGTGGCCATTGCATGGAGGTCTGTCAGCCACGGCCATCATCCTGCACACTAGTGCCGTTCCTAATTTACAGAGCTCATAAACCCATTGAATGCTAGGGTTGGAAGGTCCTCTAACACAGCCACCCTTCTGAGGTGCAACTCCTTCACAGCTCTCAGTCAAATAGTCATTGCGTATCAACTACCATTTCTCTTTTTCATGCTAGTTCGAGAACTCTTTGCAGACAAAGAATGTGTTTAAACTTATTGTATTGTTGTGATAAAATATTTACAACATAGAATTTACCATTGTAACTATGTTAAAGTGTACAGTGGCATTAAATTAGGTACATTCACATTGTGGTGTAACCATCACCACCATCCTGAACGTTTTTATCCTGCCAACTAAAACTGCACCCGTTAAACACTAACTCCCTAGTCTCTCCTCCCTCTTACCATTAGCAACCACCATTCTACTTTTTTTCTTCACTAACATCTCTCTCAGTCCTTGATAACCACAATTCTACTTCTGC